GCATTACCCAGGTACGGCCAATGTTGGCCTGGAGCTGGAACTAAGGCTACCATCTAGTCTCCCAGCTTCATTTTCAATTCTATACTGACCTTTAAGAATATAATGCTTTCTTTTCCCTTCTATAAAGTGGAGGCATGTGGAATTTATCACAAAGATATTCACAGATTATGATTAAGTTATATTGCACTGTCAAAGAAAGGTGTGAGCTTTTTCTGGATGTCCTTTCATGGAAAAATGACCTTGGCCAAAGAGAATCCTATACAATGTAATGATTTAAGGTTCTCCATTTTTAAAATACTGGCATTGTGCTAAGTTCTTTGTAAGGTCATTTTCAGCTCTAATGCCTTATGCCACCACGAATATTATTTCCTATATCATAGGGCTCCATCCTATTAATAGATAGTTGGCTTTTCTAGTTCCCAGATTCATATAACTCATTGTAGGGTGATTTCTCCTTAAGTATAAATGTGAACAAAGCAACTTAATTTAGCAAATAACTAGCTAGAGAGGTGGTCTTTGAACCCTAATTTTCCTCCAGTGAGTGGTCCCTCAGTTGGTACTGTCCTGTGGTACATTTTGTCACACAGGTCCACGTGTTTGTTGTCTCCAAGACAAGATGCAATTTCTCTCTTTCCTTCGTGGCCATTGCCCATGGATAATAGGAACATATGGCAAGCTGTACCTGCTGTGGCTTTGGAATTACTGTGAGGAATACGCCCCCTAGTCCTTCTCAAAGGGAGGTCTGACCTCATTACCAGGCCTCTCTAATGAGCAGACTATGGGGGTTTTCATTTCGGAAGTCTTCAGGTTGATATTACTGTGAAGGTCAGTCCTGTGTCTGTCACTGAATCTGTGGCATAGATTTCTGAGTTGAATTGTTTAAGACCAGGCTGGATGGATGCCACGGAGAAAATAAGGCAAAGATTCCTGCAGTCTAACTCTCCATAATGGTTTTAGGGGTGATGAAGCATCATGGTCCTGCTTCTCACTCACACTCGCCCTCCAGAAATGTAAAATCCAGAGCAACCCACAGGCCCTAGAAATGCCCAGTTAGAGTTTTTAATAGTCCCATCTTGATTACGTGTAGAGTCCATCTTTAGTTTGATATTTCTGTGGCCCACGCATTTTCAGAAAAATCTCTCTTCAGTTTGAAATCTTCCACCTTCGTTCTTTTCAGATTGTATCTGGAATAAGGTGAGGAAGTGTGTGTAGAATACAATTCTGTGACCATGGTAATTTAGTGACTCCTGTGACATCATCTTAAGCATCTTAGTGTGTTTTTTTTTTATTGAGTTCATATTAGTTTACATCAATGTGAGATTTCAGTTATACATTATTTCTTGGCTGTCACCACATAAGTGCCCCCCTTCACCCCCTGTTCCCACCCCCCATCCACCTTCCCCTGGATACCACTGAACTATTTTCTTTGTCCTAGTACTTGTTTATATTTCACATATCAGTGAAATAATCTGATGTTTGTCTTTCTCAGACTGGCTTATTTCACTTAGTATAATTCCTTCTAGGTCCTTCCATGTTATGGCAAATGGGATGAATTTGTCTTTTTTCTGGCTGAGTAGTACTCCCTTGTATATATATATATATATATATATTTCACATCTTCTTTATCCAATCTGTCGATGGGCGCTTGGATTGCTTCCATGTCTTGGCTATTGTGAATAGTGCTGCAATATACATAGGGGTGCATATGTTACTTTGGATTGTTGATTTCAAATTGTTTGGGTAGATACCCAGTAGTGGGATGGCTGGGTCATATGAGTGGTCTATTCAGTGTGGGTTTTTAATGTTTGCTGTAAGCTCTTGAGGTCAGACACTCTGCAGTTTGTCTTTGAGACCTCAGCACCTGGCACATATTCGTGTATTTATTGAGTACCTTCTGTGTGCCAGGGGCTAAGATACAGTAGTATAGAAAGATGGGCAAGGCTCCTGCTTTGAGAGAAATTATAGTCAAGCAGGGAAAACAGATATTTTGCCAGTTATTATAAGTGCAGAACTCTGTGAAAAGGGAAGTCCAGGGTGCTTCACAGGAGTCTAATATGGGGACCTAACCTAGGCTCGGAGGTCAAAGGCTTCCCTAAGGAAGTGACATTTAGACTGAACCCCGAATGATAAACAGGCATAATCATGAAAGAGGATAGGTCTTTGATACATCTTTGGTGAATGAGCGAATGATTGAAAAGGCTGCCTTCCTGCATGGCTGTTCCGTAGCATTGCTAAATTAACCGTCACATGCTTAGTCATTCTGTCCATAGTCTCTCCAGGCATTATCGGTGGGTCCATAAGCCATTTTCTTAGCCTCTCTCTTCTTCAGTAAAGGCAAGTAAAGTGTAATTGTGAGAGGACAATTATCTTTGAAGATATTATCAGACTAGTGTTTTACTGAGATCATACAGTACATATATATTGGTTTATATGCTTTTCATGTGCAATGCATCCAGAAATTTCAAGGGCAAGAAGGTTCTAGAAGGCTTACTTCTGCCTTTGAAAATCCTAGCCTGTGGAATCACGTGGTCTCCGTTGGTATACCTCCTCACTGGCAAAGCAAGGCAGCTCTTTGCCAAATAGAGCTCTGGGAGCTGTGCTTGCTGGCTTTGAGGGGAAGTGCTGTCTGTCCTTAAGCACAGGCCTGGGTCTCCATGCTTTGGCTTCCTCCACTGCAGAACAAGGAGATTCTGCCAATGATAATGTTACCTTGAAGTGATGTAATAAAGATGGCTGTAAAAGCATTTTGCAAGATCAACAAAAACGCCTACAAGAGGCATGCTATCTATATCTGGTGTTTGCCAAAATTTCAGAGAAAGTTCTCTGATCTGAGACTCTAGAGAGGTTAAGAACGGGGACTGGCTTTCAAGATCTTCTCTGGAATTTCTGTGCCCTTTCCTTCATTATTATTTTACAACAACTTTGGCAGGAGGTATCAGTAATGTCAATAATAATAATAATAATGATAATAATATTTACTGAGTAGTTACTAATGAGCCAGGCACTGTCCTGAGCACTTAAATACATTTTAGCACCTCATTCCCACCACAGCCCATGGAACCTGTCATTATTAGACAGACTTACCAGTGAAAGGGACTGAGGCAGAGAAAACTCAAGAGACTTGCCAAAAGTTATGTAGCTGTCTGATCCCAAAGACTGTACTCACTACATACGTGAAATATTTTGAGCTTTTCAGAATAAGAGCTCGGGGTTGCTAAGTAACTAAACATATACAGTTAATTATTCCTGCCCTGGAATACAAGAGTGTTAACATTAACAGAAGTTTATTTTTGCAGTTCCTTTGGTCTTCTGGTATTCCCACATGCCTCCCCTTTTCCTAACTGTATTGCTCTCCTGTTGTTCAAAGTGGAAAAAAAAATCTATTTCCAACTTGTCCAAAAAGAAAATGAATTGCATCCAAACTAGTGAAAGTCGTGTTGAGCGATTGAAGAAGTTGGGGCGTCGATCACGTTTGCTGAGAACCGGCCTACATAAGTAGAGACGGAATGCCAAGATCTAGGCTGTGTTTTATTACCAAGATCTTAAACAATTCTTAAGGGCCTTTTTATTACCTCCACTATCCCTCATCCCACCTCATTTAGTTGGATGCTATAGAGAGAAAACAGAGTTTCTACCTTCTCGAAATGGAAACAATAGACTTTGCTGTGCTACTTCTATTTCCCCACTGGGGAATCTGAGAGATGACCTGATTGAATTCCACTCGGAAAGGTCATGCTTTGAATTCAAGGCAGAGGAAAAAGCGAAGAAAACATTTTGCAATGATACCCCATGGGTCCTGAGCACACTGGGGCCTCCCCTCACTGCATTGTGGTCTGCTGATAAGGATAACATGGATGACAAGCGGAACACTTCCAGGACAGAGGAAATTCCGTGTTTCATTGTTTAAAGGAAGCCACCGTCCACTCAGGAGAGCAAGGTTTCGGGCATAGGCAGAGAATTCCCTGCTGGCAGGCCAGAGAGGCAGAGGGAGCCTGCTGGTGCAGTGGGACCGGGGAGCTGCCCAGCTGCTTGTGAGCGCATCTGTCCCTAATTCCATCTTGGGAGTACTGGCACGGTTGGAAGTCAAGAAGGGGTCATTGCAGTTTATGGCATTCGTAGGGGTTAGGAGCCAGACTGTTAGAGATGGAGGCACGCGGGTTGGGAGAGTTGAAAGCCTGATTCTCACAATGTGGCCCATTGAGGAATCGCAGAAAAAGCACCAGGAGATTTAGAGAAGTTGATCTGGTTTTGAGTTTAAATTCTAGACCTCCTTCTCTCCCCACCCCCTCCAAGCCAAAATGTCAGAAAAGGGCCTGGTTTCCCTTTATGGAGTGCAGAATAAACAGATCTTCAGCAGCAGGAGAGGGGCCCACTTCCCCAGCCCATAATGCCAGAGCTGGGGGTGGGGGGCCGTGGGGAAAAGCAGTTACTCTTCTGTCTGGTTAGTATTTGGCATTGACTTTCATTTTCTCCAACCTCTGTTTTCTAGAAGCCTGCCTGTACGGGAAGTACAGGAATAAAAGAGAAGCTGATCTTGGGGGTTTTCTTGCCAGACTTCAAAGGAGGTGGACTTTTGATTTTTGATACTTTGGGGAGGCATTTCCAAAATTAAAACTGTGTTGAGGAATTGAACCCCGAGACTGAGGTCCTGGCTGGTCGCCAGTCTGGGCGCACTGCTCTTCTCCTGATGGAGCTGATGCTCTCTGGGCTCCCTGCTCTCCCTCCCGGCCCAGGGAGTGAGCCGAGCCCTGGGCACCGTGGGGTCAGCTGTGGTTAGCTTGGCCACAGGGCTCTGCATTCCTTCTGGGCTTTGCTTGGTTTGGGTGGGTGTGTCCACAAGTTTACTCTGGAGAAAACTGAGACAAAGAGTCTAAATTGGGCAGGATCTCGAATCTAATGACTTGTTTACAGATCCTGTGCTTTTTCCAGTGCAGGGAGGAGGAAGAGGAAAGGGCAAGCTCGTTACTGTGGGCATGGCACATTGTTGTTTTTCATCCCAAGGAGGTAGGACAGTTTCAGAAAGCAGCAGGCCATCTGCCTGGCAGTCAGTGGGCAAAGCGGCACTCTGTGTAATTTTCCAAGGTGGGGAGGAAACGGCGGCGGCCTCGGCCTCTGCCCACCGGCTTGGCTTCCGGGGAACGTACTGCTCTGGGGAGAATGCCTGACCCCGCCACATGAAAGGCCCCGTTTCCTCCCACTGCAACTTCGAGGGATGGGGGAGATTGCCCTCTTCACCCCTGCTCCAAGTGCACCCCAAGCCAGAGTACCCAGCGAAGAATGTGCACCTGTGATGTGGCTAAGGAAACAGTACAGGACCTGTGTAAGGAGAGAGGAAAATCCCAGAAGGCCCTCTCTAATAGGAAAGCAGACTCATTAAGGTTTTGCTATAAGGTGGTATTTATTTAATGATTGCTAAGTGTAAGAAATTCCTCCGAAGGAAGAAAAAAGTGTACTGCAAATTTGAAAACTTGTTCTTCCAGATTCTGGCAGTTCTTCTGGGGCTCAGAGCTGCTTCTTCCAAGACATTTGGGTCCTTGGCTTTACCCTAAGGGGTGGTGTTGGACTGCAGGGAAGGTGGGGGGAGCCCACATCCACATGTGCACGGGGCACTTGATAAACATCTCTTTTAGTTCCCACCCCAACCCATGAGGTATACGTGGCAAGTACCGTTTTATGATGAGGAAACTGAGGCCCAGCGAGATTAAATAATTGGCTCAAGGTCACACAGCCACTAACTGTGTCATGCTGGGCCTCTTTGCACCCAGTTTGAGCAGGGTTACAAGGCGAGACAGTAACCCATGGGTGCCTGAGCTCCTCAAACTGAAAAGGGGGGGGCCCTATGATGCGGTCTGTTACCTCTCCTGGGTTGTTTCAGTTGGGTGTGGCTGATTCAAAATTATGCTTCAAGAGAATATGCTCCAGACCATGAGTAAAGAAGCCCAAACCGCAATGCATTGTGGATTCTTATTATCCAAAGTCCTCCAGCTGTTCCCAAAGGGACATCTAAGGTGGTGCCAGGGATGGTGGCGGAGGGGAGGTGTTCCTGGAAGCCTCTGAACCCTTCTCGCAGAGAAGCCTCATAGAAAATGGCATCCCCAGATAATCCAATGTTTGGAATGGAAAGGGACTCAAATTAAAGATAGCATCAGCTGTACTGTCTACCCCACCAACCGGAATAGGTAAAACTGTACCAGCTAACATTCACTTTATACTTTGTCGCTTAAAACCTCTATCATGTCTATTGACTCATTTGACTGCTGAGACATAGGAGGGGCAGCTATTCTAACTGAAAACAGAGGCAACATGATGCGGTAGACTCGGGTTCCAATGCCAGCACCTGCTGTCAACCAGATGTGCGACCCTAAGCAAATCCTGTAACTTCTGCTAGCCTCAGTTTCCTCATCCACAACATGAGGGACTTGCTCTCCAAAATTCCTCACACAGTGGGAGTCAGGATATGGAGATGATTCTCTCCAACCTTCTGGGGCTCCCCCAACACTGGCATTCTAAGGCAGGCCACTGAGCGCCGTCACCTTCCCTTCCTTTCCCAGCCCGGCTGGAGCCTGACCAATAGGAGACCAGGTCTGAGGAGGGAAGGAGTAGGTGGCAAGATTCCTTTCCACTTGTTTCCTGCACCTGGAGACAAGAACAGAGGCCGCTGTTTGGATGACTTATTGTTTAGAGCTTTTGTTTGTTTGAGCTTGGGGTTTTTTTCAGCTTTACAAAAAGAAACCTGCATATTTTTCGAATTTCAGTTGTTCCCCCCACAGCCTATCTCAGCTCACCACCTTGCAACTGGCCAATTGCGGGGTAAATCTTAGTTAATAGCAGCAGATTTTCTTATTTATCAGCACCCCATGCTGGAGGCGGAGAGTCAGTGAAATGGGAGGAGCTGCTGAGCAGCTGAGGCTGGACTCAGTGGAAAATCCAGAAGTGCAGATGTGGATCCAAATTGGGCTGAAAAACCTCATGAGATCAGGCTTTCTTGGACTTCCTGCTTTTAGCCTAAGCAGTATGTTCAACATAAACGAACTTTCGGTATTTTGAAACTTCCGTTTCTGATCTCAGAACCTGGAAGTAAAGAGCTGTTGTGAACATTTCCACAAATTTTGTCATGGTTATTCTGGAGGCCAAGTCGAACCCAGTAATTATGGAGTCTCGGGACTCACTGCGATCACAGCAGGCTGCCGGGATGGCAACGCTGGAAGGAGAGAGGCTCTCTGCTAAAGAGCCCAGGCTGTAGAGACAGGCGGGACTGTGTTCAAATTCTAGCTCTGCCACTTCCGGCCATGCCACTTAACCTCTTAGATTCTTAGTTTCCTCATCAGTTAGATGAAGAAAATATACCATTTCACAATGTTGTGAGGGCAAATGGGGGAGGAGTGTGTGTGCACTTGATCTCTCCCCTCCTTTCTCGTACATATACGTGCATGATGTGTATGTGTATATATATGCACACACATGCATACATATCGATGTGTACAAAATATATGTGAGTGTACGTATGTGTACTATAATTTATTTATTTTTACCTTGAATTAGTAGACTCCCCTGGGAGCCCAAGGCACCCAATTTCAGATAGCTGTGGCATTTGGAAGTCACTGGAATCTCCCTACTTAACTGTCAAAGGGTGCTTTACACAAAGGCAGTGAGGGGTCTGGATGCACACAGGATGAGCTCTGTGGAACTGGAGAGAACTCGGGTGGTTTTGAGTGACAAGCCGAGACTTACCCTCGCCTTTGTGCACATCTCTTTTGCTTCCTGGGCCTCCCTTGCTTTCCTGGGATAAGCTAGGAAGGAATGCCGGGCAGGCAGGTGCTGTAGGAAAGCGAGGTGCGACTGGAGCACTGCACAGTCGTCGGTTGAATGAGCAGGGCTGTGTCAGGGTGAGAAAAGAGGGGAGAGGGCGAGTCAGGGACGGGAAGGAAAGGTATGTCCAAATCCATCCAGCGCTGGGAGAATCGGCCTCCTTGGCCAGCCTATGCTAAATATACTGCTACTTCTTTCCTTCTCGGTTTTTTGGCTTAAATTTTTCTTTTACTCGTAAAGCGTATTATCTATTTTTTAAGTATTTTTTTAAATAAAGATTTCTGAAGTAATATGTCACCCTTGTACAAAATTTGGAAAATACAGAAAAATTACAAAAGAAAAATGCAAAAGCACCCATAGGCTCACAACCCAGAAAACAACCTTTTAATATTTTGGTGTGTTTCCTTCCAGTATTCCTAGTGAAAATATATAGATATAGATGTCTTATTTTTATATAACCATAACCATATTGTTTTGTGAATTCCTTTTATTTTCGTACTGTTAAATTATGGATATTTTCCTGTATCATGAAATGTTATTGTACTCCTAAAGGATGTACAGTAAACCATTAAATGAATGGTAAATGCTGGGCTTTTGAATAGTTTGTATCATCTTGGTTCTCCCTAACTTCTGGACCTGGAATAGCATTTTGTAACAAGCCTAGACTTCTTTCTTTGTTATTTTAATAAAATAATCTTTATAGGTTTTAGAAATGAACCCATGTGAAATGCCAAGATGTAGATGTGAAGGAAGTCACAGAGTCCCCCTGGAGTCGTCAGGCCCATAGGCCGGAGGCACGGGGAGGCGGGGCGGCCTTGGCTCACCTCCTTGGGAAGCCCAGCCGACACTGGATTGATTGCAGGCAAACCCGGGACCTGATCTGATAGCACAGAGACACCCACAACTCTGAATTTCCTGCTACCGTGAGGCCTCTTCTTTCATAAGCTGTTTGGCTTACACATACGTGGAAAGCAACTACTAATAATAGAAGAGTTACCTCTTTTCTTCCGTTGTCAGGCTCTGCAGTTACTGCTCAGAGACTCCCGCGTCTGGCAGCTGCCTGCCACTCCTCTGCCCCTCACAGCAACACGGTCAGCCAGGCTCCTCGTCAGAACGAAGCCAGGCCCTCTCCGCCTTCTGCGTGTGTGGCGGAGGTTGGGAAGGTAGCTTTCTGAGGGCTCTTTGTCTGACCAGGGAGAGGGACTTCTCTGCAGCAGGAGCCCATCTGGCCACCCCCTGAACTTCCCCCTCTACCCAGTCAACCATCTCTTCTTCTCCAGCCCCGACTAACCTAGCTGCTCAACAAACGAAATGTTGAGAAGCTGGAACCTCCTGGCAGCTTCAGTAGAGTCTGTCCTTCCCAAGTGGGTGCTGACCAGTTTGTGAGCAAGAATTCTCTGTGAGCCCCTCAGGACCAGCAACATCTGCATGATGTCTGCCAGAACTGGGATGGTCAAGCCCTTCATTAATGCTTCGACTCACATGGTGCCACTTAATCATTCATTCATTCTACTAATACGTATTTAGTGCCTCCTATTCCAGGCACTGTAGTAGATGGTGGGGATGGAATGGAGGATAAAACAGACAAAATCCCTGCTCTTATGGTAGATATAAAGGAAGAAAAAGGAAGCACCCAAAATTGAAGAGTCTGTGGTGGGGATTTCAGGGGAAATGCCTGCTGAGTTATAAAAGACCCCTGATACTCCTCTATCTTATGTCTGACATCGGGATCCTATCCTTAGCCTATTCCCAGCCTCCCTAGATCATGGTTCAGGCTCACAGCTCTTCCAGCTGCTGAGCTGCAGAAAGACCATCCCTTTGTGCGAGATCAATTATGGGCAGGAGAGCATGCCTGGCTCAAGCACACAGCTTCACAGACCCTTGTGGTCAGGGAGTTCCTAAATGAACTCAAACCTTTGGGGGCTGGGATCTGTTTACTCTTGGCACACTGGGATTTCCTGTTTCTAAGAAAATGGGCCTAGATGCTCAGCTGCATTAACCAAACAACATGTTGACGCAAATGAATCTGAAACTTGCCGGCTCCAGACTCTCTAGAAGTTCGGTTTGGGGAATGAAGGCATTTGGATGACTTTCCACACCCTGAATTCCAAGTCAGATAACTCAGGCCAGGTATTTATTGAGGAGACCTCCATTCCTTCCCCACCAAGTGGCTTTAGAGTCAGAGACCCTGTGACCATCCTGGAGCAGGGAGGGGATGGGGGACCGCTCCCCTGTCCACAGCTGACCTTAGATGTAGGCATCCCAAGATGTAGACATCCCAGGTAGCCGTGGTGGGAGGCTCTGAAAGGTTCATTCCCCAGAAGTCTCCATCACCAGTATCCCATCTGCCTGAAATGGTCACCATGAGCTTATTCCTTTGTGCTTCTGGGAGACTCATGTCAAAATGCAAGTTACCCAGCGAGATGACTTGAGTGACTGCATTTACTATAAGAGCTTAGCTTAGCAAGGTCCTGTGCATATGGCAAACCTGTCAAGTTTTGACAGGGTGTGGGGGAGGGGAAGGCGAGAAGGCAAAGGAGAAGCTGTCAAGGGATGCTTCTCAGAGAGGCCCAACCCAGAGAAGGGAGGGCACCCCCACAGGAGTGCAGGATGAGGATGTTCAGACGGGGAGAAGAGCAGGCTAGAGACACCAATTTGGTGATTGTAAACACCAAAAAACCACCTGGCCTACTTAGCTACGTTGGCCTCAATTTTACAGTCTTTATCAATATTTGAACCGAGGGCCTAAGTAGTATGGCTTTCACAGTAAAGTGCAACTACGTGGGTGGAAAACATGTAAATTATTGGAGATTTATTCCATAACAGGAATTCTAGTCATTGAGATGTTGCTAATTAATATTGCCTGCTCAGGAGCTAGTCAGATGAGGTAAAGTTCCCTTGGGAAAACGCAGTCTGGGGAGTGACGCAGAGCGCAGAAAGTCAGCGCAGGGACAGCTAACACAGTCATTCATCTTGCATTCTGACCACATATCAAGTATTGTGAACCGTGGGGTGGGGAAGTCTCCAAAGAATCAGGAGGAAAAATATCCATGACAACTGTATACATGTCCAAAACAGCAGTGGAGCAATTAAAGACAACAGGGAGCAAGTGGGAGATCAGGCAGTATAAGCTGGATACGCCGAAAAAATTGAGATGAGAAGAAAAATCCCTGTGGGTTTGTGCTAGTGTGGGAAGGCTTCATGGAGGAGGCACACTGTGACCTAGGAAAGCTCATCTTCATGGGTGTCTAAATCTTTGGGTGATAAAGGGCCTAAGTCAATGTCTTTACAAATGTTGGAGACCTAGAAATGTGGTGAGCAGCAGTGGCTGTGGGTCATTTTATGGAACTTGTGCACAAGAATATAGACATTCCAGAAATGGAAATAAAAGAACTGCATTCCTGGCACCACGTTTGTGCTACGCTCCCGGAGGTGGCCACGTGTGGGAAAGAGAAGGAAAGAAGGAGGACAGGTACAGGAAGACTCTGCCTCAGACTTTAAGGAATGGACGAATGGAACGCATTGTTTCTTTCATGATTTAAGCATCAAACATTCATTGAGCGCCTACTAGTTCTGGGCAGTGTGCAGCATTGAGGATGCAATTATGCATAAGACCTGGACCCTGGCTTTGATTAATTCAGAGTCCCCTGAAGGAAGCAGGCATAAGTGAATATTCACACTCAAGAAGAGCAAGTGCTTTCACAATAGTCTGTACAAAGTGTCACAAGAGACCAACTGAAGGGACAACTCGGTGTGCTGGAAAGGGCTGGGAGTTGGGGATGGCTTCACAGAGCGCAGGTACCAATGGAGCTAATTTTTAAAGTGACTTGGAATTTGCCTGACAAATTTTCCCTCCAGGGAGAGCGAAGAGCATGGCAGAGCGTGACCGTGGGAAAGGGCGTGCCGGGGTAGGAAGAGAGCCGCAAGCATGGGACAGCAGGCGCGGAGCTGGAAAACGGCTGGGGCCTGACCCTCAGAAACCTCTATGCCAGCCTGGAGAGAATTTGGATTTTGTGTTGTAGATGACAGGAAAATCAGTACACATTTTTGTTAGAGTATGACAACCAGTGTTCCGTTCAGTTGCATTAACTAAGCATTTATACAGCACCTACTACATGCAGAGCACTCACTGTGCTGGGTAGTTCTACAGGTCATGCAAAGAAAACATATCTCAAGCGCTCAAGGGACCCCCAGTAAATTTGGGGAGGAGCAAGTAGAGAGAAAGGGTGAGGGCAAACATGACCACAAATCACTTTGATATTAGATCGCAATGGGTTCATTGTTCTAGGAGGAGCACAAACAGAAGTTGACGTTCCTTTGTTCGTATTCCTGTGAAATTCCCCACAGCCCAGACTGATCCCTGCCCTCTCTGGTCAAAGCAGGCCTGACTTGGAGGACCAACCATTTCTCATTTTCTTTCCACGATTCTCCCTCTTCCACCAGCAAAAGTGCTTTTGTGAGGCCCACAGAGAACTGGGGTTCAAGTTGGAATGCCAGCAAATAGATGACACGCAAAAGCCACCCAAAATAAACTTGACATCTCGCCTTCCTGACAAGCCTCAGTGCTCTGCCCAGTGGTATGACTCTAGGCTGTGACGCTAGGTCTTCTCTTGGTTTAGATAAAAACTATAATTAGCTGCCACAAATGCGAGTGAATGTGGGAGGGGGAAGGGAACACCTGAATGTGAAGAGTTTTTTCTGGATTTGTTTGTTTCTGGCTCCTCTTCTTGTTCCGAGTCTGTGTTCAGCCAAATACTTGTGTTTGCATATGAAAATTGTCCCATAGATGGGCCTGAACACAATCCCTACATAATACTTGACAATGCAATCAGGGTCTTCCTGTGTCTCCCCCTCCCCTCTTCCCTGTCCTCAGCATGCACATGTTGGTACATCCACACATGTACACACCTTCAAGCAGTATAGGAAGCTGGAGGTCCCCTTCAGATCATAACCAAAAGTCTCACCCCTCACAACTCACCTGTGAGCACAGCAGCCAGGGGCTCCGGAATTCGGAGCACACCTCATCACATCCACCTGAGGCAAATGCCCAGCGACCTTAACGGTTTGTGGGAGCCTTGCACTAACTGGAGCCTCCAGAGAAGGCAAAGCAAGGGCGAGACTGCCGCACAGGCCTTTGAATGTAATACATGATTTACAGAAAGACCTCTTGTCATCCCTTTCTTTTATTCTCTCTCCTTTTCTTTCTCTCTTGCTCTCTTTTTGACTGAGTTGCCTCAGGGCTGGTGGTTTCAAAACTAGCAGCTGCAAACTTATGAAGGAAAAAAACCCAAACCACAAAAACCCGTCTTGTGAAAACCGTGTGTGCCAGTCTAAAAGTGGTAGGCCAGGCGGGAGGAAAGCCTGTTAACGCATCAGAAGGGCAGAAGCAGGGAGTCTGAGGACCACAGCTGGGCCTTTAGAGTGGAGAGGAAGTATAGCATGTCCAGGGCACAGGGTATTAGGGGACAAGGCCAGAGAGGAGTTTGGGAGGAGTGAGAAGTCCTAACCGGCCAGGGAAGCCCTCTTAGGAATGACTCTCTGCATCCGCTGAGCTGTCTGAAACACTCTGGCTTCCCAAATGCAAATCAGACCAGCTGCTTCTACCACGTTACTAGTATCTTCTTCCAGAAGACCAAAGGTCCAGCCTCTACTCTAAGTCTACTTGGAAGCTTTTGAAACACCTAGTAATATGTGCAACTGTGTCCCAACTCCTGTCTCAGCCCCATCCTGCCCAGCTAACACCCACTCATAGTCACCTATGTATTCACACCTTTCAGAACAGCATTGATTAAAGAGAAAGATATCTCCTCAAACCCAGCCCTAAACTCCTACTCCATTGCTAGTTTCAACCTTCAAGTCAATCTAAGGGAGCAGGAAGTAGGAAGGACGTGATGGGAAAGCTTAAGACCCTCTTAGAAAGAATCAAGTCCTTGTCTGGCCCAAGACTGGACAAAAGAAGTCCTCTCAGAAGTTTCATTGAATGTTAAGGCTGGAAAGGAGAGTCCCTGAGTGACACAGAAGTGGCCTGGGCTTTTTCTCCTGACCTCCTGCCCAAGCTCCATACCAATGGTGTCTTTGGTCAGAACAAGGAGGATACTTAAGTCATTTGGCCAGATCATCAGGAGAATGCCGTTGCACCCTGCTGTGGATGGGAAGAGCAGGCCATTCATAGACCCACAGACAAAGGCAAAGGAGGCCAACCCCAAGAGGCCCCTGTGGACAACATTCATTGCCAGGCCCTGTGGGAAGGACAAAAGAGAGGGAGAAACTACAGCTTAATGAAGAAGACCCGAAGGAACTCCAGTTGTAAAAATGAGGCAAAAGAAATCTAGTGTAAATTTAAGTGTAAGTATTTGAGGAGAAGCAAAGTTGGTGAAGTGATCACAACTGGGTGGGGTTAATGAGAGAAAGCTTCAAGGAGGAAGTAACTTCTGAGTAGAGGTTGAAGGAGGGGAGGGACAACGGCTGGGTTAGAGCAGGGGGAAGAGGAAGTGTGTTCTGTGGGGGAGGGTGGCTCATCTTTGGGAAGGGTAATACTGATTGCATCGTGGCCCTAGGCACTCTGCCATACTTGAAGGTCCTATCTAGAGTTAATATCACTTGGATATATTTTCAAGAAGGAAGAATAATGTTATTAACCATAGGCATGTTGTGTAGTAGAAAGAGCATGGACTTTGGAAGGAGCACACTGGAATCAGACAGATCTGAATTCACTTCTTAGCTCTGCCACTTATAAGCTGGGTAACATCCCAAGCCTCGCCTTTTCAAACCATAAAAGGAGGAGATTATTTCATAAGGCTATGGTGAGAATGAAATTAGATGAGATAACTCACGCGAAGTGCTTCGTTCTGTACCTGGCAACGAGTAGCTCCTAAATGGATAGTGGCTAATATTAGATATTTTACAGCTTATAGATTAGAAAAGCAGCCACAGGAAACTGCTTTAGATCCCCAAGGGGAAGAGTAGAAGGAATTCGGATGCCTGCACGCTAATCTCAGCAGGACAGGCCCTGGTTCAAACCTTTGGTGTGATGAAGTCAGCCGAGATTTGGGTGAATCCAAGTGCCAGGTATACGGTGGTGGCTGTGAAGAGAGCTGATACGTGGGCTTCAGAAGCCAGCCTGCTGCAGCCTGAGGGCCCCGTGCCTGGATTTAAGTCCCCATTTGATTAAGAAGAAGGTCCATCCAACCATGTGTGCTGATGATTGTTTAACAACCAGCTCTCCAGGTTTGTGTAGCGTTCACCTATTTCCACGGTGTAAATACTCCCACGTGGCCGTTTGCAAGCTACTGAGGTGATGTCACTCATTGTGGAGTAGGGAAGAACGTGGCAGTCAGCTCTCACAAACCTAGATGAGCCCATTCCAGCATGCCACTGCATCCAGCAGCCCCTGTCACAGGCGCCAGCCGTGGCCATCTCAGAGCAGAATGGGCATTGTCTTCCATGCCTGGCCTAGTTTTGCTTCTCGTTGGTTTAAGTAGAGCGGTAAGGAGTTGAAGGCGTGGAGAGAGCACCATCCCTGCTCTCTTCTCTGGCCTGCCCCGGGCAGAAGTGAAGGTTCCCTTCCAGGACTCACTTCCCCTCAGGGCAGTTCCATACTGACTAGCAAGTTCATTTTCCTCGCAGGCTGAAACAAAACAAAACAAAAAGCAGCTCTCTCCTCTGAGAGGAATCTGACGGTGCAGCCCCAGATGCCACCACTCTCCTTCCAGGGAGCTAACGCTGCCCGCCTCTCGGTCTGCCCGCAAGCGGAGTGGCTGCGCCTGGCACAAGGGAGCTGACGAGGCCAGGCCCTTCCAGTCTCCCTTAGGAGGCGGCAGGGTCCGGATTCATCCTTAAGAATTATCTGGCAGGGGCTGTCACAGAAACGGAATGCCAGAGCCCAAAAGGCCTTAGGAATTGTCTGTGCGCCCCCTTGCTGTGCGGCGGGCGTACTGAAGCACACCCCTGGGCTGTGGCAGATCCCCGAGGAGACCTCCCCTCTGGCCTGCGCTGGCGGTGCTCCTGTACCTGCCTGTGCTCTCACGTCTTTCTCACATCACTTCTTCCGTAACTCCTGTGGCCCCTGTGAGGATCAGCTCCCTCAGGCAAGTGCTGTGCCTTCTCTTTCTCGTGTATTCCCCGCAGGCACCCGGCCCAGCCCTTGTGGATTAGCTGATAAAGAGATCTGCTCCTGCTTTGCGGTAAAGGAAGTGATAGCAGGAGCAGCGGTGGGGAAAGGAGCAGAATCAGGGCAGCACGTTCTGTCTTGGGATGCCTTCCTTCAGCTACAGGGAGTATCTGGTTTCCACTCCCCGCCACCCTCGTGGACATCGCCACCTTTACCTGAATACCAAGTCAGCCTGCATGCCCTACAGCATGCTGCGGGATATCACAAACCCGGCAAAACAAACCACAGGCAATTAGCCCCCTGGCTAGCGGGTGGGGCGAGGGAACTGAAAGGAACCTACAACCCTCCACGGCCTCTGCTCCAACCGCCAGAGCACAGCCCTTCTACCTGGTGTTCTCTGATCCAACCGCATCGGGCCTCCATTGTGATGACAGGGCTGCCCTCGCCTGACGCAGTTCACGCAGCACTGGCCGGGCTCCCATGTGACTCCTAATCCTGAACCCAGACAGCAATTTGAGTTTCACCTGCAGGGAGAGTCCTCTGATAGGCAGGCACCTCTGCTTTGTGACCTGCTGTGGAGGAGGACACTAAGGACACCCAGCCGGGCTCTGCCAAGAGACTTTGTTATGCTCTGTGTTTAAAAGAAAAAAAGTAGGAAGGGATCAATAGAGTGACAGGAAGTGAATTTATTATATTTATAAACAATGAGCCCGTGTTAGCATTTCAGGTGTCCTGATTTATCTCGCAGGTGGGAGGGAAGAGCTGCTGGCAACCTTTCGCTGGGGGCTCTGAGTTTTGGAACAGGATTTCCTCTGCAAGTTGTCGAAGATCAGATAAAAGTCTTAATCTCAGGCACACACAGCCGCAGGCTTTGGCCCCTGTGCTCAACTTTCAGTAATGAGACTGAACAATGGTTTGGGATTCAGTACAATTAAAGAGGTGGGAAAAGAAAAGGATCAGCCATGAGGTACGTCGGCTTTCCATGGGAAATGCAGGTCTGCTGAGTGGGCTCCTGAACCAAGACAAGGTTCGGTACAACCTGGGTCCCCTTGCTCCCTCTGACCTCCTTGTGCCTAGCAGAAAGTAAACAAAATAGATGCATATATCTGCCACCTTTTTTCAAAGGATGGAAACCAGAAGCAGTCACCTCTTGCTTCTTGAGCTGGGTTCTTCTGAACCGGCCTGGAGGAACATGTCCCAGCATTGGCTGGTGGGACTGTGAAGTTGGGAAAACTTTTAAATTGTTCTTCAGAATGTTTGCACTAAAGGGACGCCTATTTTTTCAAAATGCATCTATAACTTTAATGTCTTTTCAGAATAGGAATAACCAAGAACATTCATTAAGTGGCACTCCATTAGAGAGGGCTCTGAGGAACTCTACTGAACCAACCCCTGCCTTCTAAGCAGTCCTATCTCAGAATACAGACTTTATCCATGCTGAGTGAGCCAGCCAACTGAGTTTGTAGAAAAAGTTACAGGACGTAGAAAAGTTGAAAATCTTGAAATCAGGGTCAACTCTCCATAGGATTCTTTCTGCTCTAAAGTCCCACTTCAACTTCATATTCTTACCACCCCAACTACTTCTACCATGTATTGTGTTGGATTGTGTGGCCTCTGTGCTAAAAACTTTACTTGTATTCTGTCATCTAAGCCTCACAACCTCATTATCCTCATTTTACAGATGAAAACCTGAATCTCAAAGAACTTTCCTAATTTGCCCAAGCTCACCCAGGTGTGCACATTAGACCCAAGCGTTTACATCTACCTTTGTGAGACCAGGATTTCAGTAGCTCCGCTGTTCCTAATACTCATTCCCCTCTTTTTCAGCAGGGGAGAGGAGCAAGGTAAAGGGCCCATCAGAACTGCTAAAGCCATGGCCCCGCTCAGGAAGGTGTGTTTTAGTCTAGAACGTTGATAAATAAACTGGCACCCCGAGGAAGTACTTTCAAAGCAGTGAGGAAGGGCTCTGCCTTAGGTGGGGATCTGCAACGAGAGACCTTTTTCCTTTGCTCTGGACTGTTCCCCTTTGAGAACAAAGGTGGCCTGTGGTGCTGGGCCCCGCAAGCACTGACACCCATAACTTTTCTGTTGGCTCTGCCTCTGGTAGGATTTGGGGGAGCTAGACCAGGGCTGTGGGACGGATACGCCATGAAAGGAGGTACATATTTATTTGCCAGGAGAATGTAATGGGGGGAAGCAAAGCCTAATTAATGAGTTTCAGAATGAATGATTTTCCCAGATGGTTTGTATGTAGAGGCTCATGGAAATCCTGCATTTTCCCATTGCTGTTTCCCATCCTTTCTGAGCCTTGGTTGAATGGATCCGGAAATCCTTTGGAAAAGAAAGTGCACTGGTCTGTTCACCTTGAAAATGAAGATACCAAAAAGGCGTAATGTCCCTCTTCCTTCTCAGGTGGAGTGATTAATTTTACAAGCAACTCAGGAGGCCCTGCGGAAAAGGCAGATGCCATGTCCTCTCCCAGTGAAAAAGTTCATAATAATCTGTGCAAAACAGCACCTTTGGATAAACACAATGTGGCTATATATACCCTTGGCCATTTCCTGTTGCTCTTGCAGCTTGTGCAGGCTCGAAGGTAGGGTGAGGCTGTGACCATAAGCCACACGGTGACATGTACATTAGTCGTGCCCTCTGCTTCCTGTGCTGCTGACAACCTGGGCTGGACCAGTTCAGCACGGCTGCGGCAGCTGCCCCAGGCAGGGAGCCCCTGAGGCCTGCCTGAGGGTGTCGGCGAGGCATGCTCTCATCTGCTCTGGGCACAGGTTGCCTAGCTGGAGATAGATGTCGCTGCAAAAAACACCAACGGGCCAGCATGCGTGTCTGTGTCTAACGGTCTGCTTGTGTAACTTTTGCACCACAAAACAAGAGGTCAAGTAAGAAAGAGTGGTTAACAAGTTGAGCAGTCCTTTTTCTGTTAAAGGGGCAGTGTCAGTAAAAAAACTTCCCTACTGAAGTTATATTAAAAATCATTTGGCAGAGCCCGAGAGTCGCAGCCATGTGCTAGAAACCCGCCATGCTAGATATGGTAACCACGATACGAACTTCAGAATCGCCTCTCATTTTAGGATTTCAAAATGCTTAGGTAGACATCTCATGGTGTAATTTTGGAGTGGCAAGTGGGACTCCCACTATACTGAACAGTGAAATTAAGGCACCAAAACATGCAGAGACTTGCCCAAAACCTATAGCAAGTTGGGAGAAGAGACTAGAATAAAATGGACGAGTACCCTCCTTTTTCCATCCAGTAAGCCAGTGACTGCCATATTATTCCTACACGTGCCTCTCCTCCTTCTCAGATAGGAGATCTTGGGTAGAACCTTGCGTTTTTAAAAAGCTTTTCAGGAAATTCTGATGTGCAGACAGAACCACTCTAAGTTTAAATCGTGTCAACTCTCATGTTCTACATGAATTGCTAAATTAAAACTCTGTAATTCACTCAAGCAACAGATATTTGTTGAGTGCTTACAGTCTGCCAAGCACGGTGCTAAGTCCTGAGTCCCCAGGAGAACAAGCTGGACCAGAGCCCCTGCCCTCATAGAGTTCAGTCTAGTGGGGAGAGACATTAGTCACACATTTGCACAAAGGAATATATAATTATAAATGTGGTATGTACGAATGAAGAAAAGGTTAAGAGTGCTCTGAGAAAGCTTAAGGCTGTATACAGTTTCCATTGTAGGATTCAAGGAAAGCCCCTCTGAAGCTATGATATTTACACGTAAATGATGAAGATGGGAGGAAGGAATATGCAACATTGCTTCCGGGGCATAACCAAAGCAAGTTATGATTATAAGAAGCAACCAATTACACAATAAGTGTAGTTACTCTCTTGTACTTGTGTGCATTTGTCTGTGCCCAGGGAACCACACCTCCTTCTCACAATGGTTTGGGTGGTTTATGGCAGGAAAAGAGAAGAAAAGTGAGATGTAGGGAGTTGGGTCCTCCAATGACTTGTGATAGAGGTTCTATTAGGGCATTTCATTGCTTCCAAAATGTGTCTGAGGGAGGTTCAAAGGTGCTTTATGTGAACAGGATTCTGTGTTCAAATCAGTGTGGGAAGCACTGTGTTACACAGACTACAGAGGCCTCTTTGCCTCAGGATTGATCTGAACCCAGCACGTGCTAATACACATCGGGAATCTCCAAGGGAAGTCAGGGGCAGTATAGTCTGTAGCATTTTCCAACAAATGTGATGGTGGAACAGTTTTTTTCACTGAGCATCTAACATAGCTTCTGAAACCTTTGTCCTCCTCAGACGCGCTCGGGGAGTGTGAAAAGTGTTGACTCATGGGCTCTGGCTCCTGAAAGTCAACCTCACTAGACCTGTAATGGTCCCTGGAAGCTTCGTGTTTACAACACCTCAGTGATTTTGATGCAGCAAGCCCAGGAACTTTGAGGAAAACAAGTAGGACTACTGTTCCTAGGGGTATCTCAGTAGCTCTACACATTTCCATCGTTCACGTTTTCTTGGCTTCTCCTTATTCCTTCCAACCTGGCTTATACTGAGTGAGCACAGCCAAGTTATTGGGCCAGCATAGATGGTGATGATGATGATAATAATAATAATAATATGCAAAGTGAGTTATAGACAGCAAAGCTGACCTTGGTCTAGAATCTGTTGGGTGTCACATGTTGAGCTACAAAGACCACATTTGTCATTTGAACTCAGTTGACAGGAACATCATGTGGGGTGTAAGATACTGTGCATTGAAAATTCCTGAAGCTGTGCAAATATAGGATCCAGCAGAATTTTTTCTGATGTGCCCATCTGTCTTTGTCTAATTGGCCATGTCTCTTTGGCTACCTCCCTTCCTTTCAGATGGAACAAAGGTATGCAGAAAGACACATCTTGATGCATTCATGTGCAAAGAAGTTTGTGTCTTTTGTTTTCTCTCCCTCTTGTCATGGCCTATCAGAATGAAAAAGGCTGAAGAAACTGGCTCTTTTCAGAGCAGCATCAGCTCCCACAAGCTCCTCCTATCTGGGTTGCAATCAGCATAGTGAGGAGAGCAGGGACAGAGCACATGATCGTGACCGGGCTTGCTGCTCAGATGCAAGAATTCAGATTACTATTACCTATGCCACAGCAGGCTCCCAGAGCTCCAAGCAGCTCCACCCCAGACAGAAAACCCCTTTGCAGTCGCACACTAAAATACTTAATGCCATTTGCCAGAGATTTGACTTGGTTAAAAGAAAGACAGGAGGTGGGAGGGAGGAGGTATAGAAAGGAAAATGTGAGAAAAAATCGTGTTCTGCACATTAAAGAGCCTGCCTTGTCCTTCTCAGAACATTCAACCAAACAGTTTAGAGAAGGCAGTACTTGTGCACGTGTGGAGACCAAGATCTTAGCAAAAGGCAGGTCTAAGGATGGCTTTTGTGCAAGAACACATCTATAGGTACACAATTTAACCTGTTTAAAAGTTGGGGATGATTGTGACTCAAACCGGGGTGAGAGGAAGAACTGTGTTACATTTCTTCACAGATAACTGCAGACTGATTGTGTTTGTCCTTCTGACCCATATGCTCCGTCTCTTGGCGTGTTTTGCTTGGTTTGCACTAATGTTCTGGCTGGTGGTCATTTGCTCTTGGTGGCCAGTTTCGCTTCCTGGTTTTGAGCAAATGGCAGTGAGGCCTGTTGCTTGGGCACGCTGTGTCACTGAAGGAAGTGTGCAGTTTTAAAATGTCAAAGCCAGCAGCCTCATGTCCAGTGCATGCCATCCATCAGCAAGTGTCTCTGGATCCCAAATGGGCCCACTGCAAGTTAAGGTGGTAACTAACAGAGAAAGATCTCGCCTTAAAACTGCCTATAATCTAACCAAGGGGCAAGATCAAACGGGAAAGAAAAATGGCATCAATCTGAAAAGATAAATGTACTTACTGCCACAGTGTTTGGGGGCATAGAATGCATCAGAGAAAGGGTGGCCCCGTGGAAAGTGCGGGTATCTGGAGTCCAGAGGGCTAGACTCTGTTCTTCTACTTACCAGCTTTGTGACCAGGAATGAGGTCTTAGCCTTTCAGAACCTTCCATTTTCCATCAGCAAAATGGGAGAGGGGAATAATACTACCTACTTGTCCAGTTTATTGTGGTGGTTAAATAAGATTATAGGTGTGGGAAGGCTCCTATTAAGATAAATGTCTTAAACTATAAAACAGTCTAAAACTCTCAGTTATTATGATGGCTATAAAAACAGTCTGGAGGAAAATCAGTCTAGAAAATGCATCTTCTGCCATTTCCATTAAAAAGAGACAGAGGGAAAGGGAGCTGAGTACAGGAATTAGACCAGCTCAGGACTTTGTTCTGGCCCCTCGCTGTATGCTTGTATTCCTCTACAAGAACTTAAAGGTAATCGTGGTTATCATTTGTATTGAAAGATTTAAGGTAACCTTATCATTTCTAAGATTTGGAGAAATCAGAGAAAATAACGTACTTCCTAAGATACCATTTGGTTTTAATATTCAGGGGGCTGACCTCCAATTTAGGAGAATATTGTGACTGTGGAGTTGGTATAATTCCTTGAGAGATCAGTTTGATGATAAAGAAATAATCATAGTGATTATCAGTTTTATTAGGCCTGTAGATAAATAGACAAATAAAAGGTAACTTTATGATATCTGTATGATTGTGATTTCCTAGGTAGTGGAGTGAACCAAGAGTCTGAGTTTGGCTGCATTTGGAGAATAGATTGTAAAGTGCTTATGAACTTCATAGGCCTTTCTGAGCCTTCCCCACTCCCATCTACCAGGTCCCCTTGAAAATTCATATGATTCTTGCAAACAGAAAATAGTATTAAGAATAAGATGTTTTTTAAATTTTCCTTCAAGCGTCTCATGTGCTGGTCTGAGAAATTGTTTAATTCAATTTTAAAGGGACCTTGGAAGGGATAGGACAAAGGACAATGGAAGCAAGCAGCTGGAATTGGGGAGTGGTTGATCCTTAAGTTTCCTAATACTAAAACCTCCATCTGGTATCCAGAAGACAAATCTCAGTTCCTCAGGCATCACCAATGAGGCCACCTATCTGGTTTAGCATTGAGACTTTCCTCCTTAAACCCTCACCCAACCCCACCAAACAGGAAATGCAAGCTACTTGAGCTGAACGTGCAACCACCCCCCAGGTACCCAGCCCCCACTCCACCCAGCATAAGTACGTTGTTCTTTGCTTTCCATTCTGATGAGCTGTACACATCTATTTAATATATGCAGGGCAATCAGTTAGAAAAAGAAGACTTGGTAATAATTCTTACACTCAGGAAAAGTCCAAGGAAAGGGGTAATATGAATTAGTACTCTACAGCTTTTGATGGTGGGATTAGCCCTCTGGCTTCTGAAATCTTAAGATATGTACTTGTAGCAGGCTTGGCACACTTGAAATCCTAATTGTTGGTTTGATATCCCAAATCTGTTCTTCACTCGAGTAACTTTGATTGAGAATTTAGGAACCTGGAGAGGTTTCTTGAGACACACCCACCTCAGACACACCCAAAACATGCCAGGTACAGATAAAAATCTCCACTATTACTAAAACATCTAAAAACAGGAGCCTATGGCTAATCGTATACCAATAAACTGTGTTGTTTACTGTCTTTCCAAAGCAAATGTTCAGCAAATACTGTATATATGACCAAAAGAAAAGTAGAAGAAACAGTTATTTTTCTGATTCTAGAAAAGATAGATAACTATCACTGTCTACATGCATACTTTCTGCTATATTCTATTTGCATAAGTGAAATATTTATAGTGCAATATTTAGTGGTTTTCAAAATGCATTGTAATTTGTGGGTATCTGTGTGTGTGCAGGTGTGTGTGGGGGACCATGAAAAAGACTAAGACCTCTTGTCATTGGGAACAGGGCCTGACTCAGCACCCAGACCAGTCCAGCCCCGAGTCTGTGTCCTAAATGACGATACCAACCTGATTATAGTTCTGAACCTTCCTCCCCGTATGCCAAGCAAATATTTTCTAAAGGATCTGTAAGTGTATGTAAAAGAGTGTAGTTATCTTTCTGTGTTCAAGGGGCGTATTTCTCCAGTAGTTTAGCTGTTAAATGAACAGGGACCTCTGAAGACCCTTTTCAAACTGAATTTGTTGAATCCAGCTACCTACTGGATGATGTAGTGATGATGGTGTGGGTCCTCAGTGGGAGCCCAAGAAAGGCCTTCTGCTAAAGAACAGACAGAAGGAAAGGAGGCCTGGGGGCTGGACAGCTCCATCCCCTCACCTATAAAATGAAGGTATCCTCTCTGACCCACCTCCCAGGGTTATCTTCAGGGCCACACTAAATGGGAGCTAAAGCAACAGAATACGAAGCACGAAGTAAGGTATTCCTGAAAGATACCTGCATGATAGACACAAATGGGGCATGTTTACCATCTCTCCACATGGCTTCGCCACCCCTGAGCACTGGCTGTCTGCAGCATGGGGCTTCCCTCCAAGGTCAGCGAGTTCTACAACTCAAGTGAACCCTTGGCGTGAATCTCGTCCAGACCCTGGTCTCTAAACCATGAACTCGGCCATGAACAAGATGTTCCTTTTTTTACCGATCTTTTAAAATTGATTTTCAATGAAATAATAACACCATTACATTCTTATGAAAAATTCAAATAGAGGTAAAGTTAGAGCCCCTTGCCTCACACTTCCCATCCTAGAAGTGACCATTGAGGTTCCTAAGATAGATCATTTGAACAATAGATCACCTTTTCCCACAGGAAACTCTCTTTTAGGCTGAGTTCCAGTTACTTTTGCTGTACTGTTAATTGTGCGGTTTTTTATGGATGGTTTCCTTTCTATCCAACTGCAGATGGTCACTTGAGGCTTTTTATGATCCATAATATTGCGGACTTGGCAATCAGGAGCAGAATTGCTTAGTAAAAATTTGTGTGGAAATAACTCATTATCTTTATGGACATGAATAGCCATCAATAGTTCCCTGAGCTGAAGACTCCCATATCAGCACCACAGAACTTCAGAGCTGGGAGGGATACGTGTAGCCAGGTTCTACCATTGTGCTTTTCATCTTAGTCTTAACAAGTCATGTCAACATTTTACCCAAAACTGTCCTTGTGGTTGTACCATTTTTAGAGAATGTGTTTGTGGAGGAGCAAATACTCTCCATGCTACCCTCCTCTTCCCCACCCTTCTGTCTTAGGTGCCATCTTGTCTCACTCCTCATTTTACAGAAGGGAAACTCAGAGAAGTAATCCTTGCTTAAGACCTCAGAGCTAGTCATGGTGGAGCAGACACAGCTCTGGATCTCCTGTTCCGGTGCTCTTTCTACTCTCGCTACATCTTCGGCATGTGCTTCTTGCTAATATCCACTAAGATAATACCTTGCTAATATCATACTAAGAAAACAATGCACTGAAATATAGGGCCGCCAAGGCTCTGCCTTTCTTCTATTACTCACATGCTGCAAAGCTCAGAGCCCCCCGCTACCCCAATTCAGCCACTGCCACCAAGCTTTCCAAACGCTTCCAGGTGGGATACCCAGGTTCAAGCCCATTCTTATTTCTGGGTATCTCCCAG